TTTTTTTTTTTTTTGTAAGCATGAACACTTTAAATTTAGTTATCTCCTTTACTTTGATTTTTCACATACACTCTGCTCAATTTCTGCATCTGTAACCTGGAAACATGAGCTACATCTGCCTGATATAAAGTAAGGATTTCCGCTATCATGTAGGAAAAACATCTTAAGAATACCAAACTTACACTGCTATTGTTCAGCAAGATGAAAGAAGATGGTAGAGGAAGGACACCAAAGTGTTTTCATGGCAGTGAGTTGTGACTAGAGTTCTGGACAAGGAAATGAAACAGGCTTTAGCTCAGCTCTTAGACCAGAATTCTGGTGGCCTCCTGACAGAATTTGTTTTGCTATTTTGGGACAGGTTGCCATGCGTGCCTTAGGCTTTGAGCCAAAGAAGGAAGAGATTAAGAAGATGATAGCAGACATTGACAAGGAAGGAAGTGGCACCATCAACTTTGAAGACTTTTTGGCTATGATGACACAAAAAATGGTAGGAATTCTTAGCAGAAATTTTTGTGGCAGCATAAGAAAAAGGAACATCTCAGTGTCAGGGGTTTTCTGATTAACATATGCTTTACTCTTGGTTTAGAGCGAAAAGGATTCAAAAGAAGAAATCCTGAAAGCTTTCAGATTATTTGATGATGATGGCACAGGAAAAATTTCATTCAAAAACTTGAAAAGGGTTGCCAAGGAGCTGGGAGAAAATTTAACAGATGAAGAACTTCAGGTAAATTCTGATTTGCCAGAGCTTTTCTAACAGGCACAGACAATTCCTGTAGCTCCTAGGGATTGAGTGTGAATTTAGTCCTGTACCAAAAGGGCTGAGTGGTCAGAAATACGAAAAGCAGACAATACATAGTTGTTTTCACATGAAGTGCCTCTGATTTATTGTTGTTTCGATGACTGAAATATCTTGTGTTTAGAGTCCAGTGCCTGATCAAAAATACACTGTGTTTTGTAGGAAATGATTGATGAAGCTGATCGAGATGGAGATGGAGAAGTAAGTGAGCAAGAATTTTTGAGAATCATGAAGAAAACCAGCTTATACTAGTATTTGTTGCCTTGCTATACAGCTGGTCCAAAAGATAACCTGGAAAAGGCTTAAAAACTGGGCTTGTGCCTCCTGCATATTTTCTCCCACGTGAACAAAGTCTGAAAGGACAGATTTTTTGGTTTATTTCTCTTTTTCAACAAAGATAATTGGGGAAAGAGAGCTGCAGTACCCAAAACTGCCAAAATGAGATACTGCAGAAGTCAAAAGGAAGGATGAACTGAGCCTGCAAGGCAGGGTCCCTTCCCCTCCACCATAACAACTTCCCTGATTGCCATTTTGGATAAACACCGTTGTGTTTTACTATTAAACAAAAAGATACTTCACTTGAGATGTGAAGATTCCCACTCCTGCTGGGAAAGGCTGCTTTGCCTTCCCTAATGCTACTGATTGAAGGGACAAGCACAGTATTTTTTATTCCTTTGAAGGTTTTTGGGGTTATCTTTTGGTATTTGTCTCCTGTTGTTTATTTCCATGAAAGACTCTAAATTAAATTGCGTATTTGTCTGTATTTCTGTACAAAACACTGTTTTCCTTCTGGCAAGTTGTCTCTGGATTTAATGGAATGCCAATGTAGATTTGGTTCTTCCTTTGGAGCTGTGTGCCATCTGTAGATGTTGTGTTTATCTGATCACCTGAAAACAGAATGAAACTTGAATGTAACCTACTTGGGTGACCAAAGTTTATTGTTTATAACCAGGCAACACCTTGTGCTGTTGTTCTTACTCCCCACACATTACAAAACTGCTGTCCAGGCCTTCAGGTGAATTAAAAAGTTCGGTTCCATGGTGCAGTAGAGTAAATTTTGTGTTGTTGACAGTTACATTGCAGAGAGGATTTGCATCTGAAGTGAAAAGTAGCTCACCATGGACATCTGTGGAGCACTGAATATATTTAGATCCATGCGCTTCAAATCCATTTTGCACATCACAGGTTTTGGGGTGGTTCTTTTAGGAGTACCTTCATTTTCTTCAGTATTTCTTGCATCTGCTGTCAATCCAGAACTTACTGGAGAGCCAAATTTCTTTCTGAATTATACAGCAGTGATACATAGCCTGCTATCTGATTATGTTGCTCTGCAGGAGAGTTCATCCTTTATAGACAATCAGTCTATATAAGTTTCTAAACTTTCAAATCCTGTAAAGCTCCAGAGACCCAAGAAGTCCCCTGTTAACATGGTGGCCATAGATGTAATCTATAGTACTGTGTTTTAAAATGTCTTAACTTTGTATAAGTGTGAAATAAAACTGTTTTGCAAGTTAAGAAGTTTTTGTGCTTATTTTCTATTTTTCTTAATTATTTTCAAGTCTTAAATGGTTCACCAAGCACATTTTCACTTTCATTTATCTCTTCTTTCTAAGAGAGGAATTCTTAGGTGCAGTTGTCTGTCACGTAATTCCTCTTCCACTCTGCTGATTAAAAGTTTCTAGTACTAACCACATAAATTCAGAAAGGGAAGTTTGAAGTTCTAGTTGATTATGGGGAATCCCAGAGCCTATTAGAGTGACTGTACTTTTTCTTTTTATGCTGCCACAGGAAGAGATTGATGACTGTGGTTTACCTATGATGCATGTCACTTCTCTCTTCCTGTTCTAATCCCATTACCTGCCCTGAAGGTAGGAAAAAGCCACACAATCATCCCTGCCGTGTGTACTACAATGGTGAAATGTTATTTCTGGCTTGCCCATTAATCTCTGAAGTCTGGAATGTCAAGCAGTGTCTGAATGAGCACAAAGCTTGTGAGTGTTAGCAAGTCTCTTGGTGCTTTATTTTGCAGGATAGTGAGGGAAATCCTCCCCTCTTCAGCCTGACAGCTGGTGAACCCCGTCCTTTGTCTCCCTCTTCTCCTTACACTGACAGAGAGAGTGGGTCCTTACCTGGCATCTGCAGATTCCCCTCAGGTGGCTGCAATTCAGACATTCCTTGTGTGCACCCAGCTGAGATCCTTCTGCACTATCAGCAAAGCCTGGTTTTCACTCTGAGTGTTCATTCTAGGCAGATACTGTACAGAAAGGAAAGTGGAACTGTAGCTTGTGTCTGGCAAACACCTAAATATCAAAGCATTGGTAAGGGCAATAAATAGGTGCTTGAGAGATAATATTGCAAATGTCTTCTGAGATATGTTTTGAAATTAAAAAGTACCAGACTTTCAGTAAAATACAAAATAGTTCAAGAGAAAAAAAATGTTTACAAGTTATATTCCAAAATACGGCAATTGCATGGCAATTTGAATCTCCCACATGCAGCTTCTAAGTTCTGCAGCATCTCTTAAACCGACAGTATGGTCCCACAATCCTGCCAGTCCCACACTAAGGCAAATCTCCAGCTGGCTTTAGGGTAGAAAGATCCAAGGAGCTGCCAAGGAGCAGCTCACTTCATTAGGTGTGAGTTTGTTTTCAGAGTAATAAGCACAGGATTGGCTTCTAACATTGCAGAAGAAAAAAGGCATCTTTTCAGGTCCACCTATTCTTGGCATTTAAAAGAGGATGGGGGGAAGCAACACAGGAAACATTTGTGTACATTCACATGCCAGGAGTCTTACTAATAGAGCCCAAATAGTTCCATAAACTGATGAGGCATTTAAGATTAAAATATTTAAATTGGTCATTTACAGTTGTGAAGACTAACTCACATCCTGCAAACTGCCTGGTGAAGCATTTGAAATGTTGAATATTAGTTCCTTGGAAACCTCCTCAGTTAAATAAATCGAATATTGCCACACTACAGCTGCTTTTAAATGCCCCTGGATAGCAGAAGTGGATTTTGAGCAGGGCACAGGGCAGCAAACTGCTCCGTCTAGAGGCTGAGATGAGCCTCGGCCACTTGAGGAAAGGCAGCCTCAGGGGATAAATCTGCAAAGCCAGCTTCCTTCGTGTCACGCCTCTCCATACAGTCCCATAGGTCTGAGAGCGTGGCAGCCTCGCTAGAGGGCATCCAGTTACTGACGTGTGAGGCTTTGATGCTTCTTTGCCTCCACTGTTACTTTCAATGACAGGGAAAGCAGGCACACAAACATCATCCAGACTAGGCTTGAAATATGTGGTTGGTTACAGAATTATTTTCTCTGAAATGAAGAAAGCAAGGCTGCTCTCACAACCCATGTGCAAAATGCTGTAATTATTAGTCATTAGTTGTTCAAAGCTAAACCCCCAAACCACACTTTCTGAAACTCCCACTCTGTATCAATAATTGCAGGCACTCTCTCAGGAGAGCAGAGAACTCAACTTGCCTTTCACACAGTCTCCCCAAGTGCTCTGACCGCTCTGTAGAGTTATTTTCACCCTTTGGGAATAGTGCTATCAAATGGAACAACTTCCAGCAGAGAGACAGAGCCAGGCTTGCTGCAGGATGCTTGTGGCCCTCCCTTGGGATGTGGGAAAGCTGGAATCATGGCCTTGCTTCGAGTCAAGAGGAACAAGGATTTCAGAATTAAGACTTTTGTCCCCAAGGTGAGTGTGTTGACCTTTAGGGATGTGGCATAACTCCAGTGGCCTTGTGGGGACCTAAACCTATAGCTCTTAAACTCTTTGCAGTCCTGGCTGCCACTGATTACTGAACTTGAAATTGCTCAAGGCATGTTTTTTTTTTGCTTGTCTGGATGAGATTCAACACAGAGAATACTAACAAAGCAAAACTTGTCAAGCCTGAGCTGCAAAGGTGTAAAATTCCCTTGCTCTCAAGGCTACTTTATTTCCTCTGAAAGCTTCTAACTGGTTCTAGCAGTGACATAAGTTTCATTATGAAATTAACGCCCCCCAATTAAATAAAGCCATAAAAACAGATTTCCATAGGAAGAAAATGGAATAGCTAACCTAGCCCATTTCCAGCATTATTTTGGACCACTCTCTGCCCAAAAACATAGCTTAGTGCAGTGAAACAAAACCGATGTAATTCACACATCCATGCTATTGTCTGAAATTGCTTCCTAGTATGGTTTCTTCTCCACCTCAGTATGGAGAAAACAGACACATACTTTCCTCAAAATTTTTTCAGACATCCAAATGAGAAGTACTATGAAAGCTTTAAACATCAAGGGAAAAGTGACCACAGACTGCAGATAGAGTTAGAAACACGAGAAGGTATTTCAGTTTAAAAAAATAATACTTAAACAGCTTCTAAAAACATGGTATTAGGTCATCTCAGTGTAAGTTCTGTGTTCCCCATGTTTCCTCTTTAGAGAGCTTAGGACATGATTGGCCAAGAAATCCATAGAAGCACGGTTTCCACAAATCTTTTGAATGTTTTGTTTAAATCACTCCATAATACACTTGTGAAGCTGAAGAGAATTGCTGCAGAATAGCTCCTTTTGGAAAGGATATAATTTAAACAAAGTTTTTAGTGTTTGTTTGGCTTTTTTCCTATCGGGCTAACTACATTATTGATGAGGCTATTGATGTTAGTGGTGGAATGACAGGTACCTTTTGCAGAAATAAAAGGAGATTTTTGCCTAGTTGAAAAAAATCCACGTGAGTGAAGGTACAGTCCATCTAGAGCAGACATCAGGCAAAACAGGTGCTAAAACTACAATTATTTTCTCTAAGCAGAAAATTACCATAGTTGAGACTATTGTTCAGTAAACATATCCCTTTACTTGGCTTTTTTTCATCCTCCTCCTTAACATTAGGAACCAATAAATTACTCATCAAAATGGCCGAGAGGTTTGCATATTCTGCTTGTGCTGTGAAATATGTAAATATTTTTTATCAAATCCTGATAAACTGGGTCACTTGTCTGGGTGGGCTCATTCTGCAGAAAACAACTCTGTTATTGCTAAAGGCATTAAATATAGCCTATATTACAAATCCAAGAGAAAATGTGAGTTGAAAATGCTTATGTATCACAATTAAAGGAGGTTTTCCAGGAGATGAAAGAGCTTTTAGAAGGTGGGAGGGAAGAAACAAGTACTTTTATTCTCCCTGCTATCAACCCTAGATGCAATAGATGAATTAATAGGATATTATTTATTGCACGGGGATTTTTGCGCCGAGATTCAGAATTCTCCTGACTCTCAAATGCCTGCAATGCCGTGACTCACTGAGCCAAGGTCTAGGATGGTGCAATCCTGACCTCCTGCCAAGGGCTCAGCATCATCTATTCCCATTGCCTGCTGCTGGACTAAGCAGTGCTTTAGCACTTGTGCAAAACTGGGCTTTAGACAGTGGAGGCTTTAGGTATGGGCTTCCTATTTCCTGCGGTGGATTTGTGTAGGTGGCCTTGTTACCAGAAATCCATACTCCTACACAGCAACTTCTGACTGTGTTTCTGCAGAAATGACTATGATGAAAGGAATGAAATATTTTGAAAATTAAAATCATCTGTTTGTTTCTCCAAAACGGTTGGGGTATCTCCTGCTGGCAAGATCAATTTCTTCTCTCGTGGCAAAATGAGGAGCGGGGTGGAAAACTAAAGGATAAGGCTTGCAAGGGCACCGTGGCTTGGGCTGCTGCACACAAGGAGAGGGGAGAGCCCGTCTGAGGTGTCCTCTGCCCATCGTTGGCAGCTGAGTCACTGGCCCAGCCTGCAGAGCTTCTTGCTGCTGCATTTTGCAGCCAGGAAAATCCCACATCCTCCCAGTGGGTGTAGGAAACGCAGCTACAGCCTCTGGATGCGTCGGCACCAAAAACAAAGGGGAGACTGTGGTGCGGGCGGTGGCTGCGGGCTCAGGGCCAGCGTGCCAGGGCCTCGCCGACAGCATCCCTGCCCACAGCCCCGCTGGTTTGCCAAGCCCAACACTGCAAGGTGTGTGACCAGCTCTACCTCCCCACATGGGGACATGCCAGGGCCACCAGCAAGCAGCCTCTGCTGTCCCACCTCATCCTGTGTCCCTGCTTTCTGGCAAGGAGCGTGTCACATCTTGCCGTTCCTGGTCGTCCCCAGCCCTGGCTGTTTATCTTCAAGCACAGGGGCTTACAGAAGTCTCGGCTCTTGGCGTGCTGTTGTGGTGAGCACAGCCCTCGTGGCTCCAGTGAGGGTCACCAGAGGTGCGGCTCTCACCTGCCACCCATCTCAGTCCCAAGCCTGATTCCATGATTGCAGAGCTGAGTGCAATCAGCCAGGGCAGCTTCAAAATCTGAATTTTCCAGTACTGGCTGAATACTGCCAACACTGCTTCCGATGACGGCTCTGCAAGCATCCTGCTGGGAGAGCAACCCAAGGCATTGCTCACAGATCCATCTTGTTTCCTTCCATGTGTTCCCTGTGGCACTTGCCAAGCTCATGTTGAGG